GATTAAGTAAAGATAATACATAAATATAAGTGGATTTAAAAGGAAGCTTTGAAAAACTTTACTGCAAAAAATCGTAAAAAATATTTTCACTGCTAGTTGGGTGCAATGGTACATGTCTACAATCTCAGCTGCTGTAATTCCAGGTACTTGAGAGAAAAAGGAAGGAAGATCACAAACTGGAGGCCAGCCTGGGCAATTTAGCAAGAACTTATCCCAAAATTAACAGATAAAAGTAAAAAGAGCTGTGGATATAGCTCAGAGGTAGAGCATTCCTGCATTTGATTCCACAGAACCATAAAAATAAATAAATTAATTTTAAAAATTAAAATAAAGGGCTGGGATTGCATTTCAGTGATATAGCCCCTTGCCTAGCAAGTCTAAGGCCCTAGGGTTCAATTCCTGGCACTACTACCACCACCATAACAACAATAAAGTTTCCACCACTGTTTAGGGTTATAGTTAGGAAAATACGAGATAAGTTTCAAGTCTTATTAAAAGTTACCTTTGGAAAAACTCCATGACAAAATTTAGCAGTAATTTCCCTCTGTTCAGCCCAAATGTACAACTGAGTAATGGATACTTTCTCTGAATATTCTGCATAGCTGAGGACTAAAAAAAAATTTTTTTTTGAGACAGGGTCTCATTAGTTAGTGCAGGCTGGCCTTGAACTCACTATGTAGCCCAGGCTGGCCTCAAACTCGAGGTGATCCTGCTGCCTCATCCTCCTGAGTGCTGCAACTACAGTCACGTGCCACCACACCCAACTGAGAACCTAATTTTGAACCAGGAAGAACTTGTCAGTACATTTACCGTTGTGTCCCTAGACAAATTCTTGATTTCTGTGAAAGAATAATATGCTGTAATGAGCAATGAACATACTGTTGGTATGTGTCAACTTTTTATATACGTGAGGTATCTTTATTTATTTATTTTTTACTTACAAGCAAAAAGAGCAAGGATAAATAACATTTCACATGAAAAGGAAATTTAGGTGTTTAATTCTAACTCAGAATTGAGGATTTATTCAGCAAAAACAAGTACATTTTGCTCTGAGGAAGCAAATTTAATTAAGTTCATAAAAAGTAACATTTTAATGCCTATGAAATTAAGGCCTATGAAAGAAATTAAGCAATACATGAACATAATTTTATAACTGCTACGCCTATTACAGCTCAATCATCAACATGTCTTTTCAAAGGCTTGTATAAGTTGTATTCTATTTAGTTTTGTTTTGTTTTTGGTACTGGGGACTGAACCCAGGGAGAACTAAACTACATCCCTACCCTTTTAATTTAATTGTGAGGCAAGGTCTTGCTAAGTTGCCTAGGCTAGGCTTGAAATTGCAATTCTACTGCCTCAGCCTCTTGTCTGCCTTGTATTTTATTTCATTGGTACATTTTAGATATACATAGTAACATTCATCATAGGGAATTTGTGCCTGTTCATGATATATCTTTTTTCCCCATTCTTCTCCACTCTCTTCACCCCCTTTTCCCTTCCATATTTACAAAAGCTCTGTTTCCATTTCTTCCTTTGTTTGTTTGTTTGAGTGCCTGGTGTTACAGGGATGTACCACTGTGCCTAGTCTTCAGTTATGTCTTTGTTCATATTGCTTTGGCTTACAGTTTTAATACTTTCATTAATACTATCAGTAAATTTTCACATTGTATATTAAAAGTTAATTAAACTTTCTGAGCCTATAGTTGGAAAAATTAAATCCTATTTCAAGATAGTTTGACATTTTTTTTTCTCCCTGGTACCAGATTGAACTCAGGACCTCGCATTTTTGAGGCAGATGCAGAACCATTGAGCTAAATCCCCAGCCCAACGGACATTTCTTTTGGTTGCCTCCAGATGTATTTTTTTATTTTGAAAAATTACAAATTCTTTACTGCCTGCCTTGCAAGTGCAAGGTCACAAGTTCGATCCCCGGTACCAAACCAAACCAAACCAAACAAAAAACCCCCACAAATGCACAATAAGTTGCAAAATAGTATAGAGAGGTCCAATGCAGCTTTCATCCAGTTTCCCCCAATGGCACCATCTCATTTGACTATCAAAATAAAGACACTGACATTGGTGCCATCGAAAGACCTTAGTGAGATATCACCAGTTTTACATGTAGTCATGTGTGTATTTTTATACTACAAATCTATCACATTTATACATCAGTATAATACATTGTGGATCTTAAAATTTATGAAATCAAAGCATGTTTTTTAAAAAGGTAAATCTTAAGGGCCAGGGATTTAGCTCAGTGGTGCCTTGAAAGTCCAGGGTCCTGAGTTCAATCCCCAGTGGGGAGGAGGAGAGTAAATCTTGCTTACCAAGCCTATGTTAAGCAGTTTGTATCCAAAGGTTATGGGAGATGGGTTTGGGGAAAAATTAAGAGCATACATATCAGGTGAAATATTCCTTGTCTCTAGTGTTTCTTTGTGCATATCCTGTGGTTCTGTATCCTATGAGATATTTTCCATAAAAGGCTTTTGATATGTCCACTAAATTTGGAAAACTGCATATCACAACCCTCAATTGGAGTTTCAGAATTAATAATACCATATTAAAGAAACAGAAAAACTCTACATTTAGGACACTGGTTTAACTTTGCTTGGCACATTATCTACCAAATTCCTGTTATCAGAGAACCATTTCCGTTTTAGGAAACATTGCTGAAGACACTTCAGAAGGAAAATGTGCAGATCCAGCAGAGTACTGGTACAGACTCTGGGATCCTAAGGAATTAGGAAATAACCAGGACATTCTGGCTATGAAAACAAGGAACAGGGAAATAGTACATTTAATTAAGAAATACATCAATTAGGAAAGGATCTATAATAGTAGAGATGGAAGAAAACAAGAGAAAGAAAAATGTTACAGAGAAAAATAGGGAAGGGAAAGATCCCAAAAGAGGCAGGAGAAATGGGAATAAAAGCAGTGAAAGCTGAGTGGCACACACCTGTAATCCCAGCACTCTACAGGAGAATCACAAATAGGAGCACAGAATGGGCAACTCAGCTACTTAGCGAGACCCTGTCGCAAAATAAAAAATAATAAAGGGCTTGGGATATAGTTGAGTGTGAAGGCCTTGGGTTCAAGTACTGAGGAAAAATCAGGATGGTTTACTGGGTAGTTTAGGCCATTTTTCTTGCTTAGTTATCTCTTTCATGTTCTTCCCAACTCCTTGTTGAATTTCTGCTAAATTAGTGTTGGCTTCACTGCTAGCAGCACAGTACTTTGCCTTAATCAAAAAGCATGCAGTTGTCCCGGGGATTTAGCTCAGTGGTTCTACCGCCTGCCATGCAAGCTCAGGGACCCACTGGAGTTCAAACCCCGGTACAAAAAAAAAAAAAAAAAAAAAAAACCAGATCATTCACTGCACGAACATTTATTAAGATCCTGGTATGTGCTGGGCTCCACATACCCATAGGTAGTGGGTATGATACTGCGATGCAATAAAGCAGAGTTTCTAAGACCAAGGAATTCAAGTTTAAATTAGCACTGTTTTAAGTCCAGAAAGATTAAGATATAGAGACTGCTTCCATTTCAATTATTGCACTTGCATAGTTCTTTCGTTTTGTTTTGTCTTTTGAGACAGGGTCTCACTATGCAGTTCATGCTGGCCTTGAACTCACTATGTAGTCCAAGCTCACCTTAAACTCAAGGCAATTCTCCTGCCTCAGCCTCCCAAATGCTGGGAGGGATAACAGGTGTGTGCCACACTCCTGGTTTGCACTTGTATAGTTCTTAAATGAATGCTCTTTCAACATTTTAGTCTTAAAAAAACAATTTGAGGGGGTACCTAGGATCGAACTCAGAGCCTTGAGCTTGTGAGACAGGCAGCAGCACTACTGAGCTAACTCCCCAGCCAGAAAAAAAACCGTGGTTTTTTTTGTTTGTTTGTTTTTTTGGTACCAGGGATTGAACTTGGGTCCTTGCGCTTGCAAGGCAGGTGGCAGAACCACTGAGCTAAATCCCCAGCCCCCCCAAAAAATCATTACATTCTTATTTTACACATGCATTTCATCACTGTCTCTAGATGTTTTATACAACAGACTTGAATATTCAATCTGGAGTTCCTTATCCATCCATTTACTTACTTATTCACACATATAGCTGTTTTTTGTTTTTCCACTATGGGGGTCTGAACCCAGGGCCTTGTCCATCCTAGGCAATCACTCTAATACTGAGCTACATCTCCAGCCCAATAGCTCATGTTCTTTTAACTTGTACCTAAGGATCTTGCTTTTATATGTATTACCTTAAATAATCCTCACAATATTCTTATAAACGTGCTTTTCATTTTATGGAGGACAAAATGGAAGCTCGTAGAAGGTAAGTAATTTGCTCAGTATCACATGGCTATTGTAAGAATTGGATATTTCACAGAAGTCTCTGTGGCTACAAACCTAAAAAGTTTTAGTTATATCATTCAAAATGTGCAAAATTTATTGTTACTTTTGAGACAGGGTTTTGCTACGTAATTTAGGCTGGCCTTAAACTCATGGCAATCCTCCTGCCTCAGCCTTCAGAGTGCTGGGAATTCAACACCCCCAGCTTTTAAAATGTACTAAGTTTTATACTACTGTCCATAAAGGACATATAAGGTTGTTTTTGTTTGTTTGTTTTTTTACATATAAGGCTTTTAAAAAGCAAAAATAAAGGGCTGGGGATTTAGCTCAGTGGTTCTGGAGGCTGCTTCGCAAGCACAAGGACTCTAGTTCAATCCCCAGTACCCCCCAAAAAACGGCAAAAATAATTTAATTAAACAGACAATTCCTTAGCTTGATCTCTGGTACCAAAAACAAAAAAACAAAACAGACTAGACAATTACTTTTTGATACATATAGTTTAGGCTCTGTGGTAAGTGCTAGTATACAGAAAACATTAAGGAAGTCTCTGTTTAGAAGGACAGTTAAGCAAAGTTTTACCAAAGAATGAGCATTTGAGTTCAGTCTTAAATTTTAACTCGATGCAAAGAGGAGAAAGGCAAAGTATGAAGAGCAGGATCTGGATACATATGGTGCCAAAACACAACATATTTTAGGAAAAAGGATATATGCAGACAAACAGTAATGACAGGTACCATCAAGAACAATAGACTTGGCCGGGCATGGTGGTGCACACCTGTAATCCCAGCACTCAGGAGGCTGAGGCAGGAGGATGGCTGTGAGTTCAAGACCAGGCTGGGCTACATAGTGAGTTCCAGGTCAGTCTCACTAGGTAGTGAGACCCTGTCTCAAAAAAACAAACAAACAAGCAAACAAAGAACAACAGACTTGGTCAGAATTTAGAAAGATATAACTTAAGATATTAACTGAGATTTATGGTTAGAGAATAGCACAAAAAGGGGAAAAGTAAGAATTTACATGACATTTGTAGGAACCAGAACTAGAGTTGTAGCATAACACTTTCATATTAGTAAACAATAAAAAATAAGTGTGGGGACAGGTAATACTGGGACCCAAGTAGCAGCATCATTTACATATGTGGAGCACTTAACTCTGTCAAATACAGTGTTATTTTACATGTGCAAAGTATTTGAACATATTGTTATTATTATTATTAGTCCATTTGTATTAGAGAAAACAGGTTAAGAGAGGATAAGAAACTTGGCCAAGATCACATATAATATCTAGTAAAGCCAGAAAGCCAGGTTGCAAATTTAGGACTATTTATACTTCAGATTACTACTCAATTTATAAAATACAAGACATAAAAGGAGACAGAAGATTAGTTCTTAATTCCAGAGCCATCAGGTGGAATTAATTCAACCATTATAAGCCTGTTTCTTTATAAAATATAGTGATAATAAAGCTCCTCAGGATCTTAAAATGATCAGAAGAGCAGCAGGCTTAAAATATTCTGTAAATGTGAACTTGACAATGTTATTATATACATGAAGGTGTTTATATATATATATATATATATCCTTGGATATATAAGGAATCTATATATCTTAGGAGGAAACAAAGAGAATGTTTAATAAACGTTATGGATTTCATTTATTCCAAGTTCCTTCATTTAAAGTATCAATGAGTCAGCTAGACATATTATTCTGTCAAATTTCTTAGATATATTCCTGCAAGAAGGGAGGATGTGTACAAACAAGTTCTAATTCTCAAAGGACATAAATTTTTTGTTTAAAGTCTGGGAAATAAAGTTGTTATAAGTACTATGCCACCAAATGTAGATGAAACTGGAGAAGCTAAGGTAGGAGGACAGCAAGTTCACGCCCAGCTTGGGCAACAGCAAAACCTTGTCTAAAAAATAAAAAGGGTTAAGAGCCAGGGATTTAGCTCAGTAGTGCCACACCTGCCTCAAAAGTGCAAGGTCCTGAGTTTGATCCCTCGTACAAAAAACAAAACAAAAAAAAAAAAAAGGCTGGAGTTGTTGCTCATTGCTACCCAACACTGCACCACCCAAAATTTTTTAAAAAGTAGCCAGGCATAGTAGCACATGCCTATAATCCCAGCATTCAGAAGGCTGAGACAGGAGGATTGCTGGGAGTTTTAGGCCAGCCTGGGCTACACAGTTCAACACCAGGCTAAACTATATAGCAAGACCCTGTCGGAAAAATTTGCCTTACTGGGGATTAAACCCAGGACGTTTTCATTGAGCTACACCCCCAAGCCCCTCTAACCCACATCACCCCCCCCATTTGAGATAAGGTCGCCGCCACAAGTCACTACCTTGCTCAGGCCAGGGTTGAACTTCTGATTTTGATTCTCCTGCCTCAGTTTCAGCTTCCCAAAGTGCTGAGATTACAGTCTGTCAGCTGTTTAGTTTACTTCTAAAATTACAATCATTACCGTTAAAAAAATGCCACTCAAAACAGCAAAATAAGGGAAACAAAACAAGGGAAAACTATACTCATGGATGCACTAGGAAACAATATTTCTGAGAAAAATCTAGTCTTCTCTGGTCCGAAATTTCTACCTAATCTACTGTCATATCAGACAATAGGTCTGGTCACTGGAATATATATAAAAGTAAAATTGAAAATGACTAGTAGAAAAAGACTGAGGGTAAAAATTGAGTATGGGAATGGGACAAAGGAGAAAAACATTTTCCTGTGCTGCAGAAAAACCTCAGCAGCACCACGGCTTCCTCAAAACAGTAATAAGAAATGTATAAAACCTACGCGACTCAGCAAACTGGGACATCTAGTTAATTGTGCTTAGTTTCCAATGTACCTGGGTTCACCTTTCTAAAAGATGAGGTCAAACAGCATTAAGTGAGACAAAAACTGGGATTCAAACAATCAAATTCAATAAAAACCACGAATTCCTTGAAAGAAGTTTGCATTTACAGCGTCAGATCTAATCCCTGGAAAGATTTTTCGATTGACAAAAAACAGAAACACATGTCTACTTCCTTGTTCTTATTCGTGGATACCTCCCATGGACCACCTAACTGTGCCTTTTTCTGAGAAACTGCAAGAAATTGCAGAGAGAAAACCTTAAGGTTCCAAGTGTCCCCCTGCGGTGAATAAACCAGCAGGGAGCTGCCGAGTCACTCGAGCTTTGTAAAGACGGCGG